CAGTGGAGCACAAGAAATAGAACAACTCCTTGGAAGAGAGAGAGAGAGGGACGGACGTGTTTGTTGGGTTATGGGATTGTGTGTTCTCTTCCAAGAGCCTAATGTTGTATATATAAAGCTATAGTAGGGACCCTAAGGAGAATAGGATAAGGGCTTCTAATATTTTAATACAGTGGAGCAGCCCCATAATTAATATATTAATAATATTAAAGTCCACCACAATAATATTATTGCACTCCCTTCACCTATCCCAAATTACATTTGAGACTCCTTATTATAATTATCCGATTTACCTCCCCATGTTTAAGATATAATGTCCATTAATTAATTCGATCACTGATAATCAAGAATTAATTAATATATTATATTACCGAAGCTAGCGCTCGCTCATAGCATTCATATTATGCCGGAATAAATCCACCTGCAGGGTTTAGCATAATATTCCTTCATGAACTCACTTCGGGGACATCATCCGATTAACGCACATGGTGACCGTAAATATCCTAATAGCACATCGAACACATAATGTCATTACCCAATTCATTAAGTATGTCGACCCGGCTTGGATCTCACCTAAAGAATCAAAGCAACAACAATTATGTGCACATGCCTATTTAATATCTTACCGGCTAAGAGCACGCAATAATTAACTGAGGCCTAGTTCGTTTACGACGATCAGTATAAAACGAACATCCCTCTCTGGGATCCTGTTCAATACATAAATGTACTAGTGCAACTAATCGGTCAAGACAAACCGTATGGTTGACACTACAACCGTTCCGATGGGTTGTTCAATTCCATCTAGGTTGTGAACAAATGATTCTTGTTTCGCAAGTAACTGATATAGTGATCTTCGGTACGCCCGATGACGACCCACTTATCTACATGCAAAACAACAGAACGTGGAACTTATTTAACCAAAAATAATTCTCATTCATCAAGAAATAACAAGTGTAATATCCACTAAAGCAAAGCTTAAGTATATAACACCAACACGATGATCGGTGATAATCACAGTATCGGGCTTTATCGAGTTGATTCTCTGGGGTTTTAACTGGTCGGGCATCGGGGATGATTCCCTTACCCTTTATTTCTTCGTAGATGGCAGCTGCCCCGACTGAATAAAATGGATCGGTACCCTGCCTTCAAGTCTTCCCGATATTGCTTCCGAGCTGCTCGCACCTCGAGGTCATTTGGGTCTCCCCACCTCGGGTCCACTGAGGAGGTCTTTTTGGACGAGTTGCCAAAAGATTTTTTCTTTTTCTCCGACGTCTGCTTCTGTGCCTGGGAAGTGAACGTGAGGTCAGGGACCGACATACTCTCTTCGGCAATCACGTGGTTCTGCGCTCTGACCAAGAATTCCTGGAACGTGTTGGGCTTGTTTTGGCAAAGTGCCCACCTGAACATTGATTTGGGCTTCAATCCCGAGATGGCGCTCACCCGGAGAGTTTTAGGGTGGCATGGTTCCATATTCTGCACGCGTTCATTAAAGCGCTCAACATATTCCTTCAAGCTCTCGTCGTCCCTTTGGACGATGTTGGTTATCGACTCTTTTGGAATGAGACATACTTGCGCTCCGATAAAATGAGAGCGGAAGGTCAACCTAAGTTGGACCCAACGTCGGATGGACTGCGCGGGTAGCGAGTAATACCACTTCTGCGCTTTTGGTCCCAGAGTTATGGAGAACATACGACACCTGAGGGCGTCGGTGGCCCCATGTAAGTCCATCCATGAAGTATAATGCCCGAGATGGGCGTCGGGGTCCGACGTTCCGTCATAAAGGCCGATTTGTGGGACTTTGATTTTCCCGGGCAATGGCTTTAAAGTCAACTCAGGAGACAGTGGGGAATCCGTTTCCACGTACACATGGCCTGTCTCTTGAGCGTGCGGGTTGAGGGGCTGCCTTGTTCCTCGGGTTTGCAAAGTTTCAAGCTCGGCGACCCTCCTTCTCAAGGCTTCCATTTCGGGGTTATCATGTCTAGTCGTCCGGCCTCTCTCTATTTGGTGCCGGAGGTCGACCGGATTTCCCGTTGGCCTGAATAAGGGTCTAGCGACGGCGGTTTTCCTTCAGACGTGCCCGGATTGGCTCTCTGCCGTCATCTCCGGCAGATTCTGCTCTTGGGGATTCATCGTTTTGGCAGGAGGTCGTTGAGTGGCGTCGTCTCTAGGTTGGGACGTCGCGTGTGAGCGCGTTTGGTTGTTCTCGCCTTGCTGCAACTGCTACACTGCCGGTCTGGCCGGGGTGATGGGCGCAAGCGATTGTCCTGGTACGGTTCTCGAGGTTCCCGACATGGTCTGAGCCAGTAACGCCGAGAAACCCTTCGCGAACTCAGGGTTCTGCATAAGCGTCGCAAGATCCGGTATCATCATTGTGTTGGCTCTACCGATAGAAGGGATTGGGCCACGACTGTCCCCTCCCCTTGTTGTCTGATCATCTTGTCCTGATTGTGTCATTGCTGTATGTTTTCGTGTTAGTGGTTTCAAAGGTGGATGCTGGATTCAAAAATTGACCTCAAAATGTCTTATGAGGCCCTTCCTCTAGCGCCAAACTGTTGATAAATGGATTTGATCAACCTTTTAAATATAAATTTTCGAGGATAATGCGGAAATAAGGTGGTTTTATTAATTAAACGAGATATAATTGAGAACAGTTTCAAGTCGGTATTTCAGACTTGAAGTCGGGTTTTTTAATAGTACAATCAATCCGCTGTCAGCGATGAGCCGAGGTGATTAATGTGGAATTTAATGTGCCAAAAAAAAAAAGATCCTCGTATCGTGTTTAATGCTACTATTTATAGTAACTGTGGGCTCGTCTTTTGAGGAGATACGACTGTATTTAATGCGACGCGACAGAGCGCAGGCTTTTTCTGCAGGTGGGCCCTCTGGCAATGATGTTCTCACGTGGCTCTTGGACATTTGATGGACGGGCATTTAATGCTGCCTGTCGGTACCGACGTCAACCCTTATTTGAGTCGCATTTACTGAAGAGGTCGGTCCACTGAAGAGGTCGGTTTCCGCAGCTCGGGGAGCTTTCTCTTTTCTATTTTTGACGTGACTCCTGATCTTTCCCATAGTCCACGTGTCGTTCATCCGACGTACGAGGAGATTCTTATATCAACATCACTTCTTATCAAAAAATATTTATAGAAAATCGTAACAGGTTAGTTAGAATTTTTCTTCCAATTAATCAGACAAAATCAAGTTGGTGAATTAATCATTGCCAATAATTTTTTTTCTTAAGCTTTTGTCATATATAAAACATAAGTTATTCTATAAATTACTATAAATTTACCGTTCAAGAAATTGTGTTTTTCACATTTGCAAAATCAAAGTTGTTTAATTAGTACAGAAAATTAAATTCTAAAAATGCATGTGTGATATGTTGTAAAATATTTATACACTATTAATTTTGAATTTATTTATATATTTTAAATTGATTACATAAATAAATAAAACTAACGTGCATCAAATATTTTTCGTTACATAAAATAAAAAGAACAAAGAAGACATGCAACTTCTATCACTTTTTTAAATAATAATGATATTGTATGACAACAAAGTTTATAATAAAATGATAATCAAGTATTATATAGTGAACAAAAATAAGTAAAAAAATGTTATTTTTTTCTTTAAGAAATAAATATATATACTAAAATCAAATTTATATTAGTAAAAATGAGTTAATGAGATAATATAGTAATTATGTTACTAGTTAGCCCTAACATGCTCATATTTTATTTTTGGCAAAAAACAAAATTAAAAGAGGTAAAAAATAAATTATAACTATATTGTCTTTTAAAATTAACACGTTGATTAACCTTATTTAATTTTAGACTTAAATGACATAGTATGCCAAAATAATTTATTTAATATATTTGTCTCGTCAATTGGAATGGTACGCAGTAGTTTGTATAAAGGCCAGTATCAAGGGTTAGCGTAACAAGTGATACAAAACCCGCTCGAAGTTGATCAGTCCCGCTCACCTGCCCACGATGGGCAGTGCCCACTAGTTTGTTTTATATGAAAAACGTATTCTCAAAATACATTTTTCATCTAAAACTAGGGATGTAAATGGGTCGGGTTGGGTACGGGTTTTGGCAAACCCGAACCCGACCCACATATAATTTACCCTACCCAAACCCGACCCGTTACCCGGCTAGTGAACTTCGAGTTCGGGTTGGGTTTTACCCGGCGGGTTAGTGGATTTTCGTTGGGTAAACGGGTAACCCGAGTCTTAAATTTAGTTTTTATCCGACCCATCTTGTTTCATATGAAAAAAATAAAATAAAATAATTTCACAATTAATTATAATGTAAGAAATAGTTTACTAAGTTTGACAATAAAAATACTATAAAAAATTATATTATTTTTGGAATAAATAATAAGATACGATTATTTATTTTTTATAGTCTATTTAGTATTATAACATTTACAATTAAGTATTTAATTCTTTTATTGTACAATTAATAGAAAATGATAATGAAATTATAAAAAATAAAATAAATTTAACCATTAATCAAAATTATAATTGATAATTTAATTTTCAAAAATAACACGTGACTACTTTTATATTTATTCTAAGTTATAAATATATATGTGTATGTGTGTATATATATATATATATATATATATATATATATAATTATACCTAATATACCCTTACCCGATCATATCTTACCCGATATATACCCTTACCCGATCATATCTTACCCTATATCGTAAACGGGTAGGGTAATCGGGTTGGGTAATGGGTTTGCCTAATATACCCTTACCCGATCCGACCCGGGGTTCGGGTAGCATAATTATACCCTAACCCGACCCGAAATCCAACAATCTCGACTTTACCCGACCCAAAAATGCGGATAACATGTGGATAACCCAACCCTACAAGTTTTATTGACATCCCTATATAAAACAAACTAGTGGGCATGTCCACCGTGGGCATGCCCACCGGGGAATATAATTTCGAAGCTGATTTGGTGTCGCTCCATATTCGCAGCATGAACACCTTCATGAAGATGAATCTGAGGGCGCTCAACAGATTTGGAAGCGATTCTCTACCTCCGGAAGAAATCTTCAGAAAATTCAGATTGTACAGCACAAAACCACTTGATATGAAGAGGTTAAAGCCCATGATCTTCAAGCGGATTGAGGAACGATCCACGGAATATCCTGTCAAAGGTATACTTCAGGTGGCCAACGAGGTTCTACGGGCTCGGGCCGCCCTATACGACGGCGTATCAACACTCATCAAGCACGTACCCGTCTTGGCTTGCAAGTAATTGCCCTAAAAATTTCTCCTCTTCCCTCGGAAATTAGTGGATTTCTGGCCTTTTTTGTGGTGCTTATTACTGTTATCAGTGTTTGATATTTTGATTAAGTGAGGTTACTTTTTTTAGCCTTTGAAAGTTTTTTAGTTTCTAATTTTTATTTTAATTTCCTTTGATGGGTTTGTGCTTATGGTGTTAATGAATTGGGAATATCGAGTGAAACTGGTTGTCTCATTATTTTGTTTGTATGAAATGTTCTTCTGTGAGTGCTGATTTTGTTATCTGTGATAGACTATATTCTTCTTTGTTTTTTTTTTCTTTGGATTTTGTTAGTATGAAAAAGTACTCATTTTTTCTGCTTTCTGTTTATTTTTTGTTTTCTTTTTCCGAGATGATGAAAGCATATACTACCTTTGCCTCTTCTACCGCAATATGATTGTCGGTTATTTTTGTCACGGCCTGTCTCGAATCATTGATTAGAGAATGAAATCAGCCTTATCAAACAATTGAACTTGTCCATGCGAGTTGTGACTCGTAATCACTTTTGGTTTTTGTTGACAGTTGGGTTTTGTGATCATCCAAATAGACAAACTTAGCGTCAATAGCATCATTTCTATCATTCACAGTATCTTTCTGGCATCAGAGGCCAAGAATCACTCTCGTGCACAAGGCCACTTAGGTCATTTAATAACTAGGTGCTGTGTTATCGAGATAGAGAATGGTTTCATGATCATTTGGAATAACCAATAGTGTTTTTGAAGTGGCCTTAGAGCAAAAGATATACATAATGAAACATCGACTTCTCTGAGTAAGCACGGATTTTATATGATTCCAGTTATTCTTTGTCCTGTTGAAATTAGAATCATGATGCAGATGCAAAATCGGAGAGTCTTCTTTAATGATATCCGTTACAGCTTATTTATAGTAATAGGTGGACATTAGAAGTGGAAAGCGTGACACAACTCAAATATGTTTTATATTTATAGTCTCTCTATCTTCAGACATTGATTTAGGATTGATGTGAGTCCCGCATGTGGCGATTAGTATCAGGTAGTTTCGAAGAATTTCTTAAGGTGTGGGTGACTAAACCGAGGACTGAGCAAAATATTTAATTATCTTATTTGAGATTTTTTTCTGAATGTCGGGGACTCCAGAAATCTGATACCCCTTTATATTACTTGTAAAAATCTAGTTCAGCAAAACAATTATATATATAATAAATATTTATATATCTCATTTAATTTCCTTCTTTGTTGGTTCAGATACTGCTCTGAAGTTTTTATTGGTGAAAGTGGTCACTTAATTCATACTTGCCATGGTCACCGCCATCACGCAAAGAACAAGGCTCATACCTGGGTGAAAGGAAGCTTGAATGATGTTATTGTCCCCGTAGAAACCTTTCATCTTGAGAGAATGTTCCAGAATGTACTCGAACACAATGAAAGACTCGATCACGACAGGATTCCTGCAGTCATCGAGCTCTGCCTGCAAGCAGGGGCAATTACCAACAGCCAAGATATTGTCAAACCCGATAACCTTGAAAACAACAACACAACTGATCCGGATAAACTATCACAAGATGATCTAAGGAGAGAGGCAACAAGAACCCTACATGCATGGGAGGCCATCCGATCGGGAGTTCACAAGCTGTTGAAAGTTCATCCAGCTAGGGTCTGCAAACGCTGTAACCAAGTGCATGTAGGCCCGTCGGGCCACAAGCCCCTGATGTGCAGGGTGTGTAAGCATGACAATCTCCATTTATGGGAGAAGGCAAGGGTGGACAATTTGGTGCCCCAAAAAGTAGTTTGGATCAGACGGAAGCAAGATCCGCCAGTACTTGTGGATAAGGGGCGGGAGTATTACGGGCGGGCGCCTGTTGTGGTGGATTTATGCAGTAAGGCGGGTGCACTGGTCCCGTCAAGATACTTTTGTATGATGAAATTGGATGGATTGACTGCTCCAGTTTGAATTTGGATTTTATTTTATTTTATTTTATTTTAAAATCCTGTTTTGGTGTACATGTAGAATGCATTTTCCCATAAAAGAGGTTGATTGACTGAGAAATATTGGTATAGGAAGGTCCAATGGTACCTAAATTTTGTAGGTGTAGATTTGGTTTTTGTTCTTTCTTTGTTGACAATTTTTAAGAGGTTTATGTACACTTAATTTGCATTGTGTTTAAATGTCTCCCTAAGATGTGATGAATTTTTGGAGAAGTTCGGCTGGATACGTATATTATCTTTTAACAGTGAAGTAAAATCTTATGTAAATGTTAACATTCTCAGTTTCTGCAAACATTTGTTAGTTGTTATTTATAATATCATTCAGTTGATTAACATCAACTCTTCTCATGACAGTTAATTAACTACTCTATAGGCATGATTTATAAGAACCCTTGAAATTTTGGTTTATTAAGGTACTGTAAAAAAGTGGAAGGTTACATAGGTTCCCTTCCATTCATTAGCAAACAAACCCCCTTGATCTGGAAAAATAAACTGCAATACACCTAAAGAAATCATAAAATTAGAGCTTGTAGTTAACAAAACCTGTAAATCTTAATAATCATCCATCAATATGTATAAAAATATTTTTCCCACCCATCTTACAGCCTTGTTTGCCGCCGAGAAATCACTTAAATCTACTCTCACCAGGTGATCTCATAAAAACGAGACATGAAGATAAATAAGGTTCATACTAATACACGATAAAGAGAAACACAATTCATAGAACACCAAGTTCCTCCAATTTATTCACACAACTCGAGCCACACAAGCGCAGCACCAAAGTGCCGGTGAAGCTTGTTATTTTTCACACTAACACAAAGCCAACAAAAGAAACAGCCGCTCTCTCCCTCCATATATCATAATAATCCAGACTTAATTGCATTTCTGCACCAAGAAAAGAACTAAGAATCAGGACAAACAAGAACAGCCAGACCAAAGCACAAGCAGGACATGATCAAATTAATAACACCAACTATAATAAACACCATTAAACATATATAACGAGTTGTTTGTCCGACCAAAGCACAAGCAGAAATGTAAATGCACTTACAGTAGGGAACAATCTTCCAGCGTTGATTATCACCCTTTTTCCACTCCCAAAGGACAATATTAGTGCCATCACGAACGCCTCCATGATTTTTGTCTCCATTGAAAGCATCAATGTTAAGGCGAATGTTGCTAACCATCCTTACTGCTCGGTAACCGTCTCCCAAGTCCTTGCTTTCAGTCCACAAAATTGATTCATCAAATCCGTTGGCATTATAGTCTGTCAACTGGACCTGTCCGGAAAAGAAAACAAGATTTTTAAGTCGATACAGTTGATACAGACAAAGATTTGCTGATTTAGGTTTCATTTAATTCTATTTTTTTCTGGCATTGCTAATTCAAGCTAGTGATAGATAAAGGGTATCATGTGTGTGGGAGTAAGCCTGTCTTAACTCCTAAAAAGATGCAAATATAAGCTCTTTAAGAGCTCATAAGCCTCTACAAAAGAATTTTATCTCAACCCAACTCATTTTGTGGCATCTTATGAGTTACATTAACTTTTATCAACTCAAAACATTATGTAATTAAGCTACAACACCTTTTTTTTTAATCAACATCTCCAATGGCACAATGTTCATTTATAAAAGACTTTTTAGATAAACCCAACCACTAAACGAAACTCTCTTGAACACATGGACGGAGCCAATACAAGTATAGGGCGTATATGGATCATGAGAAAATGCAATTTCATACCATTGACCATAAACTATTAAAACTAAAACTAAATATATGTACAGTTCATTTCATAAGAGCTCATACAAACAAATCATTTACATATGATTAAGATGTTATATAAGAACTTTACAGGCTGAGTGGCGCCAATAGAGTGTTTGATGGCCTGCCTAGTGGCCTTGTTGACCAGAGCAAAGCTTGGGAAACCTTCTTCATCCTTCACCCTCGTACTAAATTTCTCATCTTTTATCCATTGCTGACACCACAAATCACAAAAAGAATTATATTAGAATCCGATTTTCTTTCTTCTGTTCTTTCCTTGTTGCGAAGAAAAAGGATAATTAAGAATTAAAATTGGAGGCCACCTGTCGAGGATCAGATGGATCGGCGGGTGCAAGAACGACTTTCCCATCACGAATGGTGAGAGCGTAATTTGTGTCCGCCTTGCAGTACATCCTAACCGAGGGCTTGTTGCTGAGCTCGTCCTTATGGTGGTGGTGGTGGTGGTCAGCGGCCGGCGGGATGTGGGGATGGTGATGGGGGTGTTCCGCGGTGGCAGGACCCGGCGGGCCCATGTGGGAGGTGTGGTACACCTGCGGCGGTGGTGGCGCGTTGCCTCCGTAGAAGGGCGGCGTGGGCGCGTTTCCTGCGAAGAAGGGCGGCGGGGGTTTGTCTCCGCCGAAGAAGGGCGGAGGGGGCGCGTTTCCTCCGAAGAAGGGCGGAGGGGGCGCGTTTCCTCCGAAGAAGGGAGGCGGGGGTGCGTCTCCGCCGAAGAAGGGCGGCGGAGGTGGGTCGGCGCCGAACAAGGGCGGCGGGTGCCCGTATCGGCCTTCTTCCTCCTCATCTCTCCGGTGGTGGCCGCCGTGGTGGCGTCCGTGCGGGTACTCCATGTGTGATTTTTGTTTTCTTGTTTCTAGGGCACTATCAGATGGGTTGATTCCAAGAGAGAATTGGTGAACTAATAATGAATGAGGGTAATATTGACTATTGAATTATTGAAAAAAAAAAAAAAAGTATGCAGGGTGAATTTTTTACCAGAAAATTGAAAAAAAAAAATTAAGTTGTGGAAAAAAAAAATACACAAACAAATAAGAGTGGACCAAAATAAAAACTCGGTATTCAGTGATTACATTTTACTATTTTTCTAATTGTAAAACGTATTCAATGAATACGTTTTCTTTTATAAAAAAATCTAAAAAAATGTATTTAAGGAATACATTTTCTATTTCTATACAAATTGTATATAAAACGTATTCTTTAAATACCTGCTTTTTATTGTTGTCCATTCTTTTTTTTTTCTTTTTTTTTGTCCACATGTTTTTTTATTTTTTTTATTAATACATAAATTACTCTGTGGACGGTTGGAGGTGGTGAGGTGTGATGTTGTGAGTGGCCAACAGAGGACAGATACCGAGTATGGTAGGTGAACAAAACGAATTAATTGTTTACTTTAAAGGTGTACTCTTCTGCCAAATATGAAATTTGATTGAATCAACTTTTTGTAATTAGTGGTTTGTGGCATGTACAAGACAAAGATTTTCATAAAGTTATTTTCACAATCTTATTCGTTTAACTTTAAAAAATAATAATATTATTATCTATTTTTTATCTCTTTTAATCAACGTTAAGTCTAAAAAATTATTAAGTCCCCTCAGGCAAATATGTATAGAGTTATGTGATCGTGTCTCATAAGTCACAAATATTATGAATAACATTACAAATTATTCATTCAAATTTTTATTCATTGCAAATATATTAAAATAATTTATATAACAACCATTAAATACCACTTTCAATATATTTATCAATAAAAAGTATATAAAATTTCTAGTGTGTTCAAATTTAAATAATATTTTATGGGTTCAATTTTAAATCATCCAGACATTTGGTCAAACGCATAGGTGTGATCAAAATTAAATCATTGGCATTTTGAGCGGTTGAAATTTAAATCATCTACCATGATACTGTGATGTGTATTATATATATATATATATATATATATATTGTTTAACAAATAATATGTGCTTTATAAAAATAATAATAATAATTTTACAAGATTTTAAACGTAAAATTTGGTTTTTAATCACAATAGAAAAATCATGGTAAGTTGTATTGAAAAGGTGTTATGAGATAAAATAATTAACTAAAATAATAAAATAAAATACTTGATGGAAATAGAATGTATTAATTACCTTTGACATTTCTTACTAGTAATTCTAGTAAATAAAATGTCTTTTTATATAAGTATAGATGCGCATGTAAGATTTTTTAACTATTTTGTAAAGAAAATATGTCTAAAAATACTTAAACTTAACATGTGTTACGTATATGTGAGTATATATATATGTACATATAGATAGAATATGTAAAAAAAATATGTATGAACATTTTGTTTAAGTATCTAAAATATTATAAGCCTAAATAAAGACATTATCTCACGCTAAAGTTGTTTTAGAGAAGATTTATAAGATACCATAATTATGATGTTACTTCCATATGAAGATTTGACTACTCAATATTTCAAAAATTATTATCATTTTTTTAAGTTGTTACCATAAAAAAAGAATTTGTAAGCTTAACAATTTATCAATTTTACAAATACAAATTAAAATTAACGCAAAAGCTATCAATTTTACAAATACAAATCAAGATTAATGCACACAAAAAATTATGTGACAAATAAAAAGAAATTTTGTACGTAATTGAGATCAAAGACGAACACTGAAGACTGTTTCTGATATGGGATATTATATACTAGACCTGTTCGTCAGCACAACCAACTAAAATGGACAAGCGGCCTAGCCGAACTGGACCGGGGACCCGCAATAAAGAAGGGAGGAAGACAATGGAGAAAAGCAGGTTCGGCGATATCAGACAAGTATCAGTTGCTCGAGGAGTTGGTCGAGGGAGAGCGATCAGATGGGCATGGTCATGGACTCGACCACCTCATACTTCAGGGACAGCTTGGCATTTTCTAGAGATCCGGTCAAACATAAGAATAAACAAGAGAATCTCCAGCACGTGGGAGGAGGACACGCCGTGCTGTACGAGTGGTCCACGGCGATAACGAACTCTGACATATTCGACGCGTTTTCTGACACCAGAGATAGTGGAGGCACGTGGTTGTACGGACGAGCAGGAAGGCTGCCAGCCAGACTCGCCCAGATCGCACGTGTAGAACATGTAACTCGTCCCTATAAATAGGGACGA